TTCTAGGGCCTTCTCAGTCTGTCCAAGTTGAGCATATATGTGCCCAAGAGACTATATAAAAACAGAAAATCAATTCAAATTGAAGTTTGAACGGTAGAATATGAAAAGCAAAAAAAATTATAATGTTCAAATGCTAGCGCTCTTGATTTCACTCACTTTCAATGTCTCACTGTTGTCAGGATGAACTTCCAAAACTTTTTCAAAATTCGAAAGAGCACCTCTAAATTCTCCCAACTTCAGTTGAACTTGTCCCAGACCTGGCATAGTACAAAAATACAATCAGAGAAGAGTATATTCAACAGCATATGACCTCCTCCACAATCTACCCGAACAAGATCATTTTGTTCCAAAATATTTAATTGGATTACAAACTGCTAATAGGGGTAACGACAATATGGATGTTAATTAGCCATTAATTTACCTAATACATATGTGTGCATAAAACAAGAAAATCTAGAATAATCTAAAGCGAGGAATTTATCTTCATTTCTCTTTGAAAATAAGAGATTTATCTTTCAGAAATCAAAAGAACCCCGAAAAAGGAGAGAATAAAAAAAGGTCCCTGAAGAATAGTATACATAATATTTTAGTATTTTTTGTTACAAAAAAAAAAATTATTTCTATTAGAAGTTTTAAGTGAGCAAGAAGAAAACACAAGCTACAACATGACATAATTTAAAAATAGTTCAGATATTCAAATATCTCTATAACGGGCAATAATTTTCAAGTGCAAATTACAATTCTATACTAAGTGGTTTGGGATTTATTTTTCTGAAAAGAAAAAATTAATAAATTCAAAAATTACTAAGGAGTGCAAACTCGATATAAAGATATTTACATGTCAATCAAAATATGTATAAGGTCTCATAAGTCTTCACAAGAATAATCCTTAATCCAAAAGCCTAGAGTGTGGAACAATATATCCTTGAAACTATCAAAGTTTGCCTAAGAACTCTCATAAGCTCTCATATTTCTTTCCTTCAAAACTATCCAAAATATAGCCAAAGGGATAAGCCTTAAGGAGTGGTTGTCCCTGTGAATTCGTCTCCAAGCCTGAATCTCATCTCTCACCCTGCCATCATCCAGATTACCCTCTAAAGACCACATGCGAGAGGCCAAAGCTGATATACGAACAGGCATCATTGCAGAATATGATTACAGGGTTGTGCATCTCTCTTACACAATAACACTTGTTTACCAAGACTATTCACCTTCTTATCAGTTTATCTAGGGTTAAGATGCATTCCCTCACTACTTCCCATGCAAAAAAAAGGCTATCATTGGCAATGCATATTTATCTTCCGAATCTGTCTTGATGAGATCTCCTTGTATGCTCCTACACCCCCTCACCAAGAAAAAGTAGAAAGACTTTACTGAGAATGTCCTCCTCGAGTTTAAAGTCAAAAGGTTTGATCTTCAGCCTCGTTAAGAATGCACTTGGATAGAGATTGGAAAGCGTCTCATACTCATTAATCTCTTAATCCCAATGATTCCTAGTCAAATCAACTATCCACACACCATTTACCGGAGATCTCAAAAAGAATCCTTGACAATGACCTCCTTATTATATTCAATGCATGTTGTTCAAACACGTGGTAGTCTAGATTTTAAAAAAGTTTCGATACACGGACGCCTCATATTAGCTAATTCAAATTTTCTTTTAAAGAAAAATGAACTAAATTTCTCAAAACTACTTTTATCTGAGTTTTTTAATTTTTTGTTTTTTATAAAATAAAAAGTATAATATATATCATTAATTACAGGTACCAAGGGAATGTCAATCCATGTATATAATTATATTATTTTTCGTATTATAAGTTATATTATTTAGTTTTATTTTAATTTTTTAATTCTAAAAAGTTCAATATGATTTGTCACATATCTAAC